TGTTCACTGGCCAGATCCGAAGCTTTGGCCCAAAATGATCCGCGTGAGGCGAACTTGGCGCTGCGGCGAAGGTTGCTGAAGGCGGGGCGGGAGTGATTTGATGGCAGGGCGAGCTCGGCAATTCGAGGGTACGGGCCACACCATGTTGTTTGAGGGTACCCGTTTTCAGTTTTTTTTAAAGGGAATCCCTCGAGTTTGACACATAAATGGGTATTCCTTTGTTTGGAACAATTGCAAGCGGCAGTAGACTTTGTGAAAGAGAGACAAACCCGCTCGGTTGGCTCATGCGTTGAGAGGAAGTCGCAGGCCTTGCGGCATATGCTGCGGGAGCCTTGCTCAATTTCTGAGCCCGCTTCCCAAGGCGTTTGGATCCGTTGCCTGGGAATCAGGTGAACAACTCAATCCTGGGCAGATGAAGCTTTCCGTTGTGCATCCCAAGCCATCGGAGCCGACTCCAGCGCAACAAACAAATCATGGACAAATCGGCGTGGCTACTTGCCAAGGCGACCTGAACTTAGCTTTCGGTGTTCCCATGTTCAGTCCCTTCGGGCAAATGATTGCGTCCTTTGCATCAAGGCGGCTTGGTAGGGAAACGGCAAGGAAGCCATCCATTCTCAGGGTTTTGCTACTTGCAACACCCGAAGGTGTTTTTCTGTTTATGTTGCCTGACGTAGGTGCCTCCTTGACAGAGTTGGGTTAGTACTCAAATGCACCTCAACATGGGCATCGGGGTTCCCGTTGGTTGCCTTTAAATGGAGCCTACCAGGCTCTCGCTGTTTCCAATTGTGTTTCCAATTCCCCTTGTGCAGTGTCTCTGTTTGGTGGGCTCCCTAATGTTCAGTGCTCTGACCTGGGTTCCCTTGTTCTGCCCGGGCCCGATTTCGGGCCCTTGGAGGGAACATTTCGCCCATTTTGGGCCCCTCACCTTCGGCCAGCTTGCTCGCTGGCTTGCAGGCGCAGTTCGCGAGCTTGTCTCCGGGCCCGGGGCTGGTGAAACGACACCAGCTTCTGGGGTTGGCAGGTCCTCAACCCCTCAACAGGATATTTGGACACTCGGAGGTCATAGTCCTCACCCGTTTTTTTTTTTTTTTGGGTTTTCGACGATCATTGTAAGCGTTTCACTTGGAATTCGTGGTTATGGTCAACCCCTTAATGGGATATTCAGATACACATCAGTTGTGATAGGGTCAGAAGGGCTTGTTGGTCATCAATCCCCTCTTTAGTGATTTTAGACAAACATGGTATTTCCCCACAATTGGCGGAGCTGCAGATCAGCAGATTTCGAATGCAAGCTAACAAATGGAGACGACCGATGGGTCGATCCCTTGGGTAGATTACGAAGGCGACGGGCCAAGGAGCTCACGAACGGGGAAGCCACCCCAACATGGGCATTCCTCCGTGAATTCAGGTGTAAAGCCAACCCAGATGAATTCCAACCCTCAACACCTATCACCCTATCGAAATCTCTTTGAACTCCCCCAAGCAGGCTCAAGCACCCTCGCATATGAACTCTCAAGCACGACACCACGCACATACAACCAAACCCAAAATGGGGTACCAACTTCAAAAAGAACTCACTCCACAGTTTCCCACAAGTAAAGCCCAATGAACTAGGGGTTCATAGGGGTTCATATGTCCAAATAGTCTTTTGCTGGAGGTTGATAGGGACGGTCATCAGCCAATGACCATGACCCCCGCTTTCTCGGACAGATGCAAGATCGACCCGCAGACCATGACCCACACAAGCTTTGAACTTGTTCTGAAGGCACCCGTTTTGAGGGTGGGGTCACATCCCACTCGGGTGACTGTCCCCTTGAGAAGGGACCCGATGAAAAGTTCGCGAGCGCTCAGGCCAGGAAGAACAGGAGGAGAGCACCAAGCTGCAGGCGGCTGGGGGTTGGTGGGGATTTTGCTGGTCGGGTCTTTCAGGGAAACTTTGCCAGGGCTGCTTTACAGTTGAGCGAAAAAATCGGTGGCACAACCCATTTTGGTTTCTCCCCTTTACCCTGCATAAGATTACTCCCTGGTTTGTACTTCAATCTTTGCGGGAACACCAACTTAGTGGCAAATATAAAGTTTGGGTACTTCTTTTGGCCCATTTATTCCGGAACTGAGCAAGGGAATCGGGCCATCTCCTTCCCTTCTGGTGCAAATGAAGTAACCCCTTTTAAGGTTGTGGTACCCGCCAGCTGCCTAGTCCCCATGCCAGATGAACCAACCATGCGTCCCCCTGGAGTAGAATTGGGTCTGCCTTTTTTGGATGGCACCCTTTTTTGCTGGTTTTTTAAGGGACACCAAAAGAAACCCCTTCCCCTTTTTGCGGGGTCCCCCAAAAGAGACAGACCCAATTGTTTTCCTTAAAGAACAGGCTCTTTACTCGGGGAGTTTGGGGTAAAGCGGGGGATCCTATGAGACAAACAGGGTATAGCGAGACTACATGAACACGAAACAACCCGCCATGACTATCTGAGCCACACTAAAAAAATCCGGGTGGCTGAAGGAGAACGCGCAGGTTGGGATATCCGCCCTTTTGATTGTCTACACGGTTTTGGGTAGATGCCTTGCGTACCATATTTTGATTATGACGAGTCAAGTCACTACATCCTCGAATCCCGACCCGTCCTTTCGTTTCTTTGGAAATTCTTGGGTCGAATATTTTGATTCTCGGACCTCCGGATTCAGCTTTCAGATGAACTCAAGGAAGGGGTTCCCCAGGAGGCGCTTGTCTGCGTGGTGCCAGAGCCCCTTTTGAACCCCGACGTCTCTCCTTTCCGCAAAAGGAACAAGGGGCAAGCCGCGGTGGGGTTTTGAAATTTTGGTTCGGGGCTTCCCACATGACTGGCAAGAGAAGGCTCGCTGACGTCCAGTTGTCAACTAGGCACATTTCCATTCTGTTGAACCCTAGGTTAATCTTACGGATACACAGAGACAGAAGCCACTACCATGTTCTACCCAAGAGATTTGGAGCATCCCAATGAAAGTGAGGGGATTTCCAGCAGACGTGGAGTGGGATGAGGTTCCCTATTCGCTTGTTGAGCGTCTTCTTTCACGTGGCAAAACTCTGCAGCTTTCTGCTCAAAGCGAAGCGGGTGAGCTGAAGGCAAAGTATCTGGTACTTGGCGCGAAGATCCGAGAGATTATGGGATAACCTTCTTATTGATTAGCATGGAACCTGACGGGGGGCGCGTGGACAATTATTTTTGTACTGCATTCTGTGATAGCGGGAGGGTCACCCAAATTACGGACCCTTCTCGGACTCCCGTAATAGGATGCATGGGTCCCAAAGCGGGCCGTTGTCTTTGACCACCCACACATCAACTGGAGCCTTTGCAAGAGGTAATGCCCATTGAACGGAAAAGGCGCATGGGCAGAGACAAATCTGGTTGCCCGACCTGAGGTGACCTTGTTTTGCAAGGCCAGCCCTCAAGAGCCGTCAGCGTGCTTGGTTTTTCCGTAGCTCAGGCCTCAGGGGGATTCAGGAGGTAGCCCCCCTTTCAAATCCACCAAAACAGGTCTCCGTTTTTGTGGCTGCCTTTTGTGGAGGGTTTTCCCTTCACATCCACTGCCAAAGGAAGTCTTTGTCAGCACTCCCAAGAGCAATGCAGCCGCCATTCGAAGTGGCACCCCTTTCCAAGTTGTTTCCTGAACAGAAACCTGGAAGACATCACTCTTTTGGGGTCCACCCTTCTGAAACAAAGCCATACGGGTGATGTTTTTTTTTTTTTTTTTTTTTTTTGAATTTTCGACTGGGTGGATCCTTGGGTGGACATTCAATGTTTGGTTGTTTGGATATTGTTGGGTGTTCGAACCAAGGTTCATAAGCACGCTCCGGATTTTGCCCGAAGTCCTTACAGACTGAGAGAAATCTGATGTGTCGAAACAGGACCCCAGCATCTAAAGTGAGACCAACATGTTTTCCCGTCAGGCAACAAGGACAGCACACAGACACATATGGGAGAGGCAACTGGCGGTTGTTTTTTGCGGGCCGCTGGCACGCCGAAACCTGCGGCCTTGCGGCTTGCGGCTTGAGCGCCTTCTTCGGCCCGGGGGCCCAGGTATGCCCAGCCAGGTGCGGAGATCCGGTTGTCGGCCGGAAGCCGGAATAAGCCGAAGATGGACTTTAGATAGCCTTCTTTTTCCACTTCTCCCACCAGGAAGGCCTTGCCCACCAGGAAGGAAAGGTAGTCTGACATAAAGGCCTTTCCCACCAAGGCCGCAAAACCCGCGTCATGCATTGATCGATCAGCTGAGGCCTGTGGAAGTGAACAGGGTGAAAGGAAGTCTGCTTGCTGTTCAAACGAGCGGCCCCTCTTTGCCACACCCTCTGTCCGACCATCATGGAAGTAGACGCTGTGAGGGTTCGATGATTGGAAGGCGGGTAGTTGACCATAGTTTTTGAGAGTTTTGAGATGACCCTTGGTCCTGGATCCACTAAATAGCAATCATGCCATCTACCCCTTATTTATGTATCTTCTACCTGTGGGAAAAGCACCTACTCGAAGTCTGATTGAAACGGCTAGGGTCACTTGTAGGGTGGCTCCACGTCTCAAAACCATGACCGAATCAAGGCTCGACCATTTCAGCCCTTTGGTTCCTGGGATCAAACTCGAGGGCTCCCACACCTGCGGCCAAGCTTGAACGTGGCCATGTCCAACGCGCGCGCGTTTCTTCCCCCGACGCCTCTTTGGGCTCGGGAGCCGGGAGCTCGTGGAGGAAAGGCTCGGCTTGCGAAGCCGGAGATTGCGCATGGAAGAAGAGCTAAAACCGCCTGCGTTTGGGTGGTCCTTCTGTCTGGCGAGCCGAATGGTTAGCACTGCTACAAGCGCTAACAACACAGGGCCCCTGATTTCCCTTTAGTTTCTGTCTAAAGCAAGCCCAGAACAGGTACCCTGAAAGCATGTCACACACATACATGGACATGACATGAAGGGTTTGTTGGCAAAAGTTCTTGGCTTCGATCCAACCACTGGAGACACGGGGTTCCTTGAGCAAGCTAGGTGTCAAACCAGGCGGACAGGTGCCTGGCAGTTGGGGTTCGCCCGGCGCCTTGAGCCCAAGCCGAAGACCAAACCCCGCGCAAAGCCGTGGCCCGGCTGATGACTCGGGAAATTCGGTCGATGAGATGCAGAGAGGGGCAGTTTGAAAGGGCTGGGGATGGTCATGAAGATGCTGGGTAACTTGTTTAGCCTCTCCTGGCCAGCTGGCTGGTTTGGGCAGACGGCGCGTTGGACGGCCGGGGGCAGAAATGGTTCTTTCTTTTCCCCCACGAATTCGGCCAACGCAGAATCCAGCAAAGCCCAACACCATGAAAATCTCCTCTCTGCATCACCGAATAAACCCCTCGAACCAGCACGCATACCCAGATGCTGAAACGCGAGCCAGCGCCAACTTGCTCAAAATCACGCGCACTTTCCAGCCAGCATCACCAGCATCACCAACTTCAGCATCATCAGCACTTTGGCCTCAACAACAGCAACTCATGCCAGACCTATGTTTTAGCATCGCCAAATCGCTAGCAAAGTGCATTTGAGCAGCTGGATGTGGCCAGCCCAGATCGTCAAGAGTGCCAGTGATGCTAGTCATGCCAGGATTGCGGGGAGGGTCAGTGGAGGCCCAGTGGAAGGCTGACGCTTCGCCGTTTGCAGCACCCAGTGGCTGTGCAACTGCGCGCAGAATGCAATCCATTTTGACTTGCTTTTGCTTGCGGCTGACCTCATTCAAATCTCCATCATTTTCAAGGGCAACGCCTGGGCCCGCAACTGTCAACATGCTGTTGCCTCAGAGTGTCGTGTGTTTCCCCTGACCTCGCATGCCTGTAGTTTGATATCAGTATCATGCCGGAAGCGCAGTCCAGTCCTGCTTTTTGGTGTCCGACGGTTCGCCTTCAACGCGGCTTTTTGCAGACGCAGTGCTTTGGCAAAACAACATGTATATCTTCACGGACACGGATTTTGAGTTGTTTTGGAGCTTTGCGTGTCGAATTGGTGGTCGCGTGTCGAACTTCTTGCCAGGCGCATCACTTTACCGCATGGAGCGCTGATTTCATGGCAGGCACAGTGCTTTGGATGGCGGCGCGCCGAATTTCATGACAAAAGCGCGTGCAAAGGTGCAATACTTTGGAGGGTCGCTGGTCGCTTGTCGTATTTCTCGACAAGCGGACTTATGGTGCACAAGGCGTCTTTTCTTTTGGCAAGCACATTGCTTTGGAATACGCAGTGGAGCTGTTTCGATGATTCAATGTCTTCATCAGGGATGTCTGTGGGCGTGTCCTAACAATATCTTTGCAAATGTCTTTCGGGATGTCGTTTTTCGGGTCATGTCCTTTTGTCGGAGTCTTTGGGGCGTGTCTTTTGTGTCGTTCATGTCTTTCATGTTTTTTTGCCTCTAGAGATCTTCCTGGTAAAATGTCTTGGAGGTTGTAGTTGAGTGCCTTCAGGGGTGGTGTTGGGGCTGTCTTTGGGATGCGTTTGCTGAAGTTGCTTGAGATGTAAGGCCTTCAGTCTCGCTTTTGAAAGCTGATGGCTCAGATTCGGATGTTTGCAAACGCACCGTGTCCTCCGCTTGCGCTATGAACGGAAGTGAACTGAGTTTCATGGATATGTCCTGGTGCCCGATGAGTGGATTGAATCTGGGCTTGGTTGGCGTGCTGGTGGAAACACGGTTGCAGTGATCTGCAGCTTTCTTGAGGTTTGTCTTGCAGCGAAGACAAGGTGATCGAAGACTGATTGTGGTGGAAACTGGGTAAGAAAACATTGCGCACGTCATTATTGATGGCCTGAACCTCCCATGTCCCCCAATACCCGACGTTGCTTGTCCTGCGCCTTGTGTGTATGTTCCCAGATCTTTGACCATACCGCCAACTCTCCGGAGCTCACAGCGCACAAGGGAGCTTGCCCGGCAACCACTGGAAGCCCAGACCATGATGCGTCTTCTTTCCTGGCAAGGGCAAGGCTCTCGGAATGCCCGAATCGCTTGAGCAACTCAAGCGGTTTGTGGTTGCAGCAAAAGCGGAACACGTGACAGAGTACTGCCAAGTGCCAGAGAGCTTGCAAGGCCTGTGTGAACCTTACCGGCGAGTCGAGATGACTTTTGCTGCAATCGAACGTTCAGATTTTCTAGGATTTGGCAGGCGAGCGCAAGTTGCCGTCTCAGTTGTGGGCAAAGCTGACTGGCAGCATGAGGCTGCTATCATCAGCTGAAATCGGTCTTGCCTGTTCATGCGCTGCTCGTTGCTTGCAGCATGTCAGGCTCCACTTTGCTTGCAACAGTGTTGCCTGTGGCGCCGCAGCGTCGCGCCATACGAGGTCAGAGACCCAAAGCTTGTGCGCGGCCGGGTGCTGTTGTGCTCATAGGGTGCGTGCGAGCTGTTAAATGACTCTCGGTCTTGCTGCCGCACCAGGCTTGCGTTTTGGGAGCCTCGCAGCCCGCGATGTTGATCTGAGCCTCCTGACTTCGAATTGAATGTGAGTGCGGCGAGCCCTGTGCATTTTGCCGAGTGCATCATGGGAAGCGTGGGATCTTTGGGGCACTTCCCCAAATCATCATCCTGTCGACCTTCTCTTTGATGTGCGGCAGCGCTGCTGTCAAGATGTCAAGTCATGCACCCAACAGCTTCCGCGGCTGCTCGTGCTTGGCTCCTGGGCCGTTTCTAGTGATGCGAGGCGAGGGCAGAGTGGTTGTTGCCAAGCTTGCCTGCTGAGATCATTGACTACACCATGTAGGCAAGACTTCATCCACGCAGCTAAGACAGGTGTCGCAAGTTCTCGCTTGGTGCCACGATCAACGGTTTGTCCCTGAAGCATTGTGCGAGGTCCTGTCAAGCCTGAAAAGCAGCCCTTTCTGGTGGCGTCCTTGGAGTACTTGGCGACACCTTAGCTTGTTTACACTTGACCTGTTGAGGTCTCGCATATTGAACCAGGTGCCCTGGTTGCCGACTGCTTCGACGTGGCTATGGGTTGTGGGCTCCCGGTTCCAGGCAGGGCTCCGGTTTAGACTTGCTTGCCTTCTCCTTGCACCGAGCCCTCCTTCCTGTTGGCTGGGAGGCCTGCGTCAGCGCGCGCATTTCGCGTGATGTCCATCGCCATATCGAACCAAGTCTCCACTACAGTGGAGGACCAGGCTCTTCTCAGCTTCTTTGCGCTGGAGCTGAGGTCCCGCATGTTCCGTTTGACACATTTTGGCTGAACGCTGGCAAGGCGTATTTAAGCACACACGCCAGCCAGCTCAGCAACCTCGGCAGGAAGGGCTGGGTTTGAGAGAGGTGCAGAAGCGATTCAGCAAGACTACAGCAGCGCTGTCCAAATATCCAGTTCTTCACTGTCCACACTTGCCTAGAAAGCAAGAGTTCTTGAATGTGTCAAGTTGTGTGCGCACCTTCTAAGGATTCACGGGGCTGGTTGTAGCCATTTTTAGCCGCGGGGAGTGGGTTCAAGGGCTCCTGTTGAACAAGCAGCCACTGAGCCAGTAGAGGACATATCGTAACAGTGCGATGCGCCCGGGTATTTGAGTGATGTGGTTGTTGCCAAGCTTTGGATGCATGCTTCGCAAGTTCAGCTTAGGTTTGGCGAGTGCCTCAGAGGCCAAGTATCGGGTCTCATTGAAATTTGTGCCACGGAGGGTCAGGGTCTCAGCGGCAAGCCGCGCGCTGGAAACTGCACGCCATGTGCCAAGGGCTTCGAAGAGAGCGGTTCATGGCATAATTAGGCGTTGCCCTGGTCACCCGCACAGAGTGGCACCCGTGACGCCAAGTGACCTTGTGGTTAGGGAATGCCGGTAAGAAGTGATCTGGCCTGCCTGGGGTTCGCGAAGGGTTTGCCAAACCTCAGTGGGTTCGCATAACGCCGGTTGGGCTCGCAAACCCTTTTGAGAATTGTAGACGTGCAATTTGCAAGCATTCGCACTCGTCGATTGGGTTTGCGCATGTTTGCCTATAGCATGCACGTTGCCCTCATAGAATATTCCCCCGGTTTGGAATTTGCCGTCTCAGCGCTCTTGCAACCAGCCCAACCAAGAAAGAGAACGTCCAAGGAGCGTCGGTGCGTGCGGCGCACGGATTTGGTTTAGCGACTTTCTGAAGGTTGCAAGCCACGGCAACGAGCCTGTGAGCACTTCGTGCATGCATCCTGCTGTCCGGCGAGCACTGGCTCATGTTCTCGCTAGAATGTGTTCACAGTGACGTACACCTGATTTCCCTAACGTACCTGCAGCGATTGAATCGCTGAGGGCCAAGGGTCGCCAGCTCAGCAAGCTTTTTGGCTGGAAACTTGGCGAAACATTCACACTCGTTGATTGGGTTCGCACATGTTCGCCTAAACCATGCTAGTGTACCCAGAGTCTACCGGCCACATGCGTTTTGCCCTCATGGAATATTCCCCCGGTTTGGAATTTGCCGTCTCAGCGCTCTTGCAACCAGCCCAACCAAGAAACAGAACGTCCAAAGCTAGTCGGTGCGTGCCTCACCAACTTTCTGACGGTTCGCCGTCTGATGGCCCAGGGTTTCGCTAGAATGTGAAGGGTTGGGGTCAATACTTCACAGTGACGTACACCTGAATTCCTAAAGTAGGTGCTATCTCTCCGTCCAGAGGGCGCACTGTTTTGGCAGCTTTCTGCGGGTCAATCACCAGAATCGCTCATGGCCAAGCGCCATGGCAGGCTTCGGTCGGCTGGAAACTAGGCGCCAGGCCAGTTCCCAGAGTGGCGGCCCATTCATTGAACTGCCTGGTGAAGCATTCGAGCTGACAAGTGTAGTCGAGTTGAGTCGAGACGAGAAGTGCGCTGACAGCATGTTGCTGACGGCTTGCTGGTTGGTTGGTAAGTGAACTTGCGCGTCGCATAGCGGTATCTGCAAATCCACTGCCAGCGTGGGGTTGCTTGAGCATGACGGGCAAAGAAGCACCACGAAGCACCGCCGTTGCCAAGGTGCCAGTCCAAGAGTTGAGAAAGGCTTCTGACCTTCCTTTCCCTTGTTCTAAATTTGAGCTCCCGCGGAGTGTTTGAAGCCGCAGGAATCCACACCGTTTTCTTCAGTGGACTCGATTTGAACGGCGGCTTTTGAAAGGCTGCCAGCTTTTCGGGTCAATGGAGAGAGTCTATACTTCACTGTGTAAGGCCATCCAGGCGCTCAGCGGAACTCAAGGCTGTTGCTTTTTCCTGCTTGAACTCCGGGCAGCGCAGGGCCGGGAGTGCCAGCTCGGTGTTGACCGTCGCGGTTCAGCCAATCCTATCCAGAAACAGAATGTCCAAGTCTAATCCGTATGCAGCACGCCGATTTGATATGAGGCTGCAGCTTTCCAACGCGCCAACCTGCACGACTGCACGCAACTCAGCAAGACGACCGCTGCTTGGCAGCTTGCAAAGC